GGGGGATACAAAAGAATGAGGAATGGGAGCCTTTCAGAGGTTTTCACTTAATGCCAACATTTCAGGTGTTTCCATAGACGCCTTTGCAAAATGTACCTGATGTAATAGTCTTGACATCCTTCTTCCTGGCACCCTTCATCTCTATGTCTGTAGTTTCACGAGAATGTCTCAATCCAGTGGGATGCTGGATGGGTTTGGGAAAATGATATCCAATAAATGCTGTGTATTTACTGCAATGTGTAGGTCATAGGAAGAGAAGTGCAAGGTGCAATTACCTTCAAGGAAGGAGCCGTCTGAGATACTGAAAAGGAAAAGGGACATAGAGTCAATTAGCCATGCATGTGACAAAACCAGCCATACCTTGGTCTCATATTAAGAAGGAGCTGGACACTCATGCTTCACTTTGGGATTAACTTTGGTAGCCTTTGGCCCTTTAGGGTTTGTGTGCATATTTCCTGGTTTTGGGTTCTCAAAACCACAAGGCTGCATGGTAGCACCTTAAACAGGGGCAGAAACGTAGGTTGAATCAACACAAGCAGTGAAGTTTCCAACCCTGAGACTCTTTTCAATAGCCATAAATCAAAGAGGAAAGCGAATGGATGCCAACAGAAAGAGGCACAGTGAGGAAGGATGTGATGGCAGATATCTTCGTTGATACATAAGGGAGTTCTTCAGTGCGCTGCACTCCCAACACCTGTGCTGTTCCTCCAGTTGTACTAGAAGTCAGTGAGCACCAATTGTGTAGAGTCCAGTGAAAGGGGTCATCCATTTCTGATCCAAGAACTTTCCCTCCACCGATTGGCTGAGATATACACTTTCAGCAGAAGGGCTCATTGAAAACATTCTTGATTTCCATACCCACGGGGGACACTGGTGTGCCCTCCTTTCTTGCATCCTCTGCTTTAGGCAACTTGGGCTTGCTTGATGCAATCACAGGAGAAGACAGAGGGCCCAGTTCTATGAAACAATGGATGGTAAGATTAAAGTCTCAAACTATGGTAAAGCAAAGGGAAAGAGTCGACTGTGTTATCGCAGAAGTATTTCCTACCCATAACTTTCCATACTTAAAACTTCTGGGAAGGCCCATGAAAAATAAGTCTTTGGATACTCAAAAGTATGAGCTCTACAAAGTCTTCTGTTCCCACCGAGTCTGCTTTCCTATATCATGGTCATCTTTCAAGGATTTCCATGAAATGACTCTCTCACAAAATGAGCTCTGAATAGGGTCAGGTGTCACCAGCACTAGAGCACATTTGTAGCTTGCTAAGAGCTCTGGATTCCATCGCACTATGTCCCCCTCCCAGAATAGGGAAGGAGATGAGAGCTGTCTTTTTGAAAAAAGCCAGTGCTTCTACAAACATAGAGATCCCCTCAGAACCATTGACATCACTGCAAAATGCAGGCTCCAGGCCTGCAAGTGCGGCACAGGGAAATGACTTGCTCAAGTTTGACTCCATATACCATTCTCCTCTACTTTGAATAATCTACGGACAGAGTGTACCCCCAGTTTTCATTGGAAGACAGCTGAGATGCATTCCCTGCTTCCTCATCACCGTCTCCAAATGGACCTAGCTAACTTCATGCTTGCCTTCCTCCTTTCCCTTACCCTTGTGCTTTTCAGAAAGAACCTCGACTACGGTGGTCTCCATCTTGATTGTCCACTTGATTGCCTTTGTATGGATTTCTCCCACTCACCCTTTTCTCAAATAACCTTACAAGGACCTTCCCCCTTGTCAAGAGCCATGCTCAGAGATGAAAGCAAAACCTTGGCCTTCCATTCATCTCCTTTGGTCCTCAGCTATCTCCCCATGGCTCTTCACTGAGGCTACATTAAGGAGAAGCCCATTCCCTGACTCCTCAGAATGTGCTCTGAGGGCCAGGAGCATTGGAATCACCTTAGAACCCATTACTGATGCAGAATTCAAGACCTGCCGAATTGCAATGCGTATCTTGAACCTGGTCCCCAACAGATGACCCACGGGAGTGGAGAGATGCAGTCTGTGGGAGTCCAACCCTAAATTCTTCAACTTCAACTGCCTATTAGGAATCGAGCCACAGTCTCCTCTCTACCAGGTCCCCCAAACCAAAGATGTATAAGGAGTCAATTTTTCCAGTGGATCTTCGGTCAGGCTGGCACCTTGGTGATCAATCCATAACCAACCCTACACTTCCCAAGTCCACGAGGGTGCTCCAAAGAATACCAGCGTTTCTTAGGATGTTCAATTCTGTTTGTGGCTGTGGGAACATGTCAGTTTACAGGTGGTCCATCAAGGTAGCTCTGCATGACCTGGGACTGAGTTCCTGAACGCCTTTCTCACCAGGAGGAAGATAGGAAGATTGGAACAACGGGCACTACATCTCATGCCAAGTTTGTTCCTGAAGCTCACAAGGCTTTCTGGCATCTCTAATATGCTTCTCTCCCTCTCTCTCTCTTTCTCTCTCTTAGCCAGTCATCTGAGTTTCCCGCCTTCACGGTGCACATCTGCTTGATTCTTTTCTCTCCATTGACTCCCTGTACTCTGTTTTGCTCCTTCTTCAATCCACCTTCTACTGTCCCCTCCAGTGTTTCCCAACCTTAGTCTGCTCAGGTTTTGGATCATTGGTTCCAATCACCTCATGACACTCTGGATGTTACCTGTCCCTCAAAAGGCAGGAGATGTACCCATTGTTACCTTCCACTACTCAGTAGATTCCTGTCTTCCACTATTCAAATAGACTGCTGCTTAGGATTGAAATAAATATGCTGTCCACTGTAATTTTTTATATGAAAATATAAAGGCTCTTACCTTCCAGAGTATGTGCTTCCTTTTCAATCGTATCCTCAGAGGAACCATCCACTCTCTCTCCTGAGCAAATCTCAGAGACTCTCTGGTAAAATTAATATGAAAATTGATAGCATTTAAAATTAATATCAATAACCGATTCTGAATCAGCATTTTAAAGCAGACATGTCACTTGGGCTGTGCACGTCAGTAAGGATTAACAAACTAGACAAGTCTAATCTTCCAAAATTGAACGATTGAAAAGAGATCTCCATATATCCTCCCCCATGAAGACCAACTTTCATCTTCACATGGCTACTGACTCTGAAAGGAGAACGCCACCACAGAAGAAACACATTCTCCCAAAACATACTATCTGATGCGCAAAACTGCGCAGACATACTACTCCTGTAACACCTAACCCGACTCAATGTTTTCTAGCATAAAGGAGAGAATGATATTTAAAATATACTGGAACACATTCTGACAAATTCGGATATCAGCCAGCATTACACACTGGCAACATTCTGATGACAGGACATTTGTGATAGAATCACATAGGTTTGTAAGACAATTGGAATTATGCTATGCTGAAGGGAAACAGAAGACTGTTACCTGGGCCTCCTTAGCTGAACAAAAATTTTTGCAATCTAAATCACCTTTGGGGAAATTTTTACTGAGAGGAAGACCCATCCATCTCATATGATGATAAAATTAGGGAGAGAAAGGTTTCTCCATTTTGCATTTACCTAACTTGGGCTTAATGATGTGGTTGTGTAGGCAGCACTTTTTAGTCAAAAAGAAAACAGTGACAGAAAAGGGTACCAAGGCATAAAATTGATTTTGAGTACACATTTTCAAGACGCCCTGGTACATGAAAATTGAATATGCCAGGAGACAGGCACAAAAAGAGTTCGGAAGAATGTAGCAGGGCAACTCAGAATATCATGGGAATGAAAATGGCTTTCCTGATTGCATAGTCCGAACATTCACTGTGGTTCTATGGGAAAGCACAGGTTTCTTTTCTTTTCTTTCTTTTCTTTTCTTTCATTCTTTCTTTATTTCCTTCTTTCTTTCTTTCTCTTTCTTTCTTTCTTTATTTTTAAATATTCATTTTCTATCCTGCTCCTTTTGTCAATTTGTTTATTACTTCTGCAGTCCTTTGGGGGAGTTTCTTGGATCTTCGAGATACAAGATCCTATTCTTGTGCCAACAGTAATATTTTAACATCTTCCTTTCCTATTCTTGCCCCTTCCCCCATTTTCTCATGGCTCTCTTGCCTGAATGCTCAGGAAGCTGTGTTCCAGAATTGACCCAGTTCTCTAATGGGGAATAGACACTGAAGACAAGGCCTATTGAAATCCATGGCCCTTGATTAGAGGCTAGTGGTATAATCCTAACCTTTTGGGCCACAAGTAGGGACCACCCTTGAACATGAGTCCATTCGGTGGCCATTGGTGTTTTTCATTAGTTCATCATAATAACCAGCTGTTACATCAGTCTAATATTTGATCAGAAGTCATTGATCATTTAAGGAGGTTATCCAAATGGAAGCAGAAAACACCAAGCAATTTTAGGCCTCAGACCTAAGGAGCAACTAGTTCAATAAGGTACCATGAATTCTGAAATGGTTTGCACGTTCTTAAACTTTCCAAGTGTTTTTAGACCTAAGGATTCAGTGATGATCTCGGCTTGATGAGAATAGTCAGAGAGGTCATTTCATGGGGCCTACTGTCCATTAGTAGAGCAAGGCAAATGTTGGGTAGCCAGGAAGGGAAATGGACATGTTTACATACCTTTGGCTTCCGCTTCTTGGAACCACCAAGGGTTGTGCCCGCTTCCTCTGCCTTCACATTGAAATGTGGTTCTGCTGACAAATATGCAGATTTACATAAATGAATTAGAACATCCTGAACAGTGATGCTGTGTCCTAATGGAAATACATAGGTCTAACAGTAATTCACTCTCTTTTCCCACACATGCATTTACGTGCAGCTTCACTTTCAGCTGAATGCTGATTTTAGTACTTACATTGCTACCGTGTGTGAGTGAGTGATCCTGGAATGGAACCCATGGACTTTGGCATGCTTGGCAAACATTCTGCCACCGGATTTCCTCCCTTGGGATCTTACGCTAGGTATTAGGAAAACCATTGGATGAACCTGACATAAATTTCCTAGGTACACAGATTGGTGTTTCTTGCATTGCTCTTTGGCTAGCAATTTACTTGTTTTTCCACTGGATGATCCCTTAGTTCTGGATCATCATGATTTCTGGATTGCAGGGAACAACATTATGGGTCCCATCCTCAGTCAATGGTATCAGTCACCATTGCCAAGAGTCTTGATTTACTTGACCTGATATTTGACTGAGCTCCTGGTAAGTGCTAGTGTGGATAAAAGACTTCAGATGTGGTGGTGTTCCTGCAGGTAGGGCCAGAGCAGTGTCTCAATGAGTGAGCATGGGGGGGCAGCCATGGGTCGGAAATGGTGACAGCAAGGAAGGGATTTGCAAGGGAGAGAAAGAGACCATGATTCAATGGCATCTGCATGGCTCAAAACAAATACAGTTGGAGTCGTGTCAAGTGACTGAAAGGACAGGGGACAGGGATGCATACACTGAGAGAGGCCCAATTTACACTCTGAAAGGTTTCTAGTTTACTTGACAACACTGGGAGCATCACGTGCATAAAACATCATTGCATAAAGGCAGCATGGGTACACCGAGGTTCATGCCTCATATGTGCAGTGTAGCGAGAACCACATGACAAATCCCCTGGGTACATCGAATGCGAGGGGCCTGTGCCAAATTGGTGGCGAATGTGTAGAAGGCAACCGCCCAATAAAATATCGATGCACACCTGGACTGGGGGAAGGTATGCAGACACGTAGAGGACACGAAGTCGTCGGTGTGAGGGAACAAAGAGCTTTTTAAGTGAATTCAACTAAAAATCTGTGTCCCTAGAATGGGACATCATTTCACAAGTCTACAAAACTTATCCAATCAGAAGGGACATGAAATAGAGAACAGGATTCAGGTTTTTGTGTTCACCATCTGGTTTCTGTCCTGCTCAGCTGCCTACACTGAGGAAAGTGTTCTTCATGTTTGGCGTGCGATGTCCTGAGCCTTGGAATTGCCAAACTCCTCAATGAATCAGAAGAGCTG